ATATTACAATATGAAAATTAGTTTTTTTTATAAATATACATATAATTAATAAAAAAAGTTTTCTTTGTGTAACAAGGTTTTTTGAAATAATTAGATATAAAAGTCTTTTGTATTAATTGTGGCAAAAGACAATACTACACCTGCTAATCTCATTTATAGTTTATCTTTTATATGCCTATGAGCAGTGGCGCACCCATGGGGTGGGGCAAGGAGCCCTGTCACCCCTAAACAAAAAGAAACACTAGTAAATTTTTAAAAAATATTTTCCTAATTAAAATTCGTTTATCTATTTATATTGTGTTGTGTGTTCTATTTCCATATTATTTATGAATTAGCAGTTACATAAAGAAAAAATTTTATTGAATTTGCATTAAAAACTTTTTTATCCATTCAACTCAGCACCCCAAGATTAAATCTTGTGTGTGCCACTGCATATGACATATATTAGGAAGTAAAAAAATTTTCTAATATTCAAAACCATTTCATTTAATTACAAAAGACAGTCAATCTATATAACAAATTTCTCTGTATAACAAATTTTTGCATTGTACGCAGCTCTTTCAGCCAAAAATATAAGTAAAATTGCTTCTAAATAATGAAGTTAAATTTCTATGTAACAAATTTTTTAAAATTTATAAGGACTATCAATTATTTCATCTGGGTTGAGTTTGAATTTAGATTCAGCTTCAGATATCATTCTTTAAACCCTTTGTAAAACTATTGTCCAGGTGTGAGAAATACTGGGCATTAGTTTTTAAAACTATCGTGTAATATGTCCTCCATGTGGCTGCTGGCTGTAAAGAAGGGAGAGACATTATTGGTCGATGAAGACATATGAACCTAAACAATTAACATATGTTTTAGAGTTACAGTATTATAGTATTGTACAGTATTTCTTAGTAATACTATAACTTATAGTTTGCATATTTTTATTGAAAAAAAATTACTGCACTGTACTGTACAGTATAATGGATTAATTTTGCACCAATTTCATTAACACTATTTTTAACTACATAACCAATTTTTGAGAATTCATCTCTGTTTCAAGATCAGAGCAGTCTTTACAATGAATTTGGATATCGATGATATTTTTCATTGTGTATGGTATTTAACCAAGAAAGTGGTCTTACTTGTGCAGGTGGCTGAGATGAGTCATACCTAAATTTTTTTACAGTATTGAATGCTGTGTAAAGTTCAGAGGAACTTTCCTAAATTTGTCCAAGAGTTCTCAGAAATATTAAAATTGAAAAGTTGCACTTCAACTCTATTTTCTTCAGGTTTGAGAGGGACACTTCTATACTGTATACAAAAAATATCAAAGCAAAGGTGTTAAAGCATTACTAGAAAATTAATGTTATGAGAAATTGGAAAAGGCTCAAAAAAGAAAGATATTGCAGCTAAGTTTGGAATTCCTATAAGTAGTTTATCAACCATAAATTGTGAATCAAATTTGAAATTAGCCAATAATGCAAGATCTACAAGCAAAACATTTAATTTGTGATTAGAATGTACTGTTATCAGGACTGCTAATTAAACAAAAACTTTTAAAGTTTGCAGAATCACTTGGATATAAGGATTTTGTGACAAATACTAGTTGGTTGGATAATTTTGGGCATAGAATTGTTGAAAAAGTGATTTGTGGTGAGTGTGGCTATTAATGAAGAAGAATGCAATCAATGGAAGAATCGAACATTGAAATCGATGTTGAAAAAATATAAGCCAAAGCTCTTTTTCCAAAATCCAAAGAAGATTTTCAATACAGACAAAACTGGTTTATTCTTTTAAGTGTGCACCCAATAGAACTTTCACTTTTAAAATGATCAATGCTTTGGTGGAAGACAGAGCAAAGAAAGGATCACTATTAATTGGAGGAAATATGGCAGGAAGTGAGAAGTTGAAACTGTTTGTGAATTTTTGTTTTTTCTGATTAATGAGTTTCAAAGGGCTAATTAGGATAACTGGCTCATACTCATATTGAAGGTGGAATATGTTGAAAAATTAGTAGAATCATTGCTGATGGATAATGCTGTTACGATTGTGTTTGCTGTTGTTGTTGATAAAAAAAATGATTTTAATTCAATTGTGTTTTTTTCTGTATCTTGTTCATCTTGTTTATAGGACACAATCTTTCATCTTTTGAAATAAACATGTACAAAAATGATTTGTTTTTGTACATGTTTATTTTTTTTTTGTACATGTATATACTTATTAAAAAGACAAAAATAACTTGTGTAAAGTTATTTTTGTCTTTTTATTTTGAGACAAGAAAAAATAATATACAACAGACAAAAATACTGTATATCTTATTTATTTAGTTATCTTTATTCTTAATTTTAATTTTAAATATATTCACACAAACAATGAAATTAGAGTAACTATTGGTTAATTTATTAGTGATAATGTTTCAAAATATGAATTAAAAAAAGCAAAAAGTTTTTAAAAAATCTCCTTTTAAGAATGTAAAGAAAAATTCCTTACATTATTATTTGGCATACAGTCTTATTGAAGCAATTCTTTTCACAAATATTCATTTTTAAACAATAAAATTATTGATAGAAAACAATAGTTAATACATGTTACAAAATACATATCCATAACGTTGAATAGCAAACTAGCCCTTCATTTATTACTTTTGAAAATGAAAAGCGTGTTCATCTGAAATTTTTCAATGCCTTTTGAATATGATAGTTAAAAGTATTTTGAAATACCAGTTCATAATTTACCATTGCTCATAAAAAATGATGACAAATAACAATGCATTTGCAATTGTGCTCAGTTGTAATTTTTAGTATTTATTTTATTATTATTATTAATTTTCTTTTACTTGACTTGTCATTTTCTTACTGGATGAAATAATTTTAATTTTACTGGCATTGAATACAATTTACTATTCACAGTTTAGTAAATTATGATTTTTTTTAATATTTATATTTTTTAAAGGTCTTCATTCTTCTTTTTAAGTTATAAATAAATTATATAATTTTTCTATGAAGAATAAAGCAAGCTAAAATGTTTTATCTAAATTAGAACTGTTGGTTAAAGTGGAAACCAATGAGGCATAAAGAAGGGTGGGGCACTTTTGTTTACAATGTAACATGATATTCTGTGACAATAATTACTTCTGAGTTCTGTTGAAAAGAGAATGAAGAAAAGCTATTGGGATGGAATTGCCTGTTAAATAAGAACAGTTTCTTAACAATTAAGAAAATTAATTAAAACATTAATTAAAACATGTCAGGATGAAATTAACACATTACAAAATTAAATGCATAGAAGTATCACAGAAGTTTCTTCTTTATTTCAAACATCCTTTACACACTTCAAGAATAAACAGTCTTTATGGCAGAGTCAACCTTCCTTTATAGACTACTTTTCCCACCTTGATATGTAAAAACCATTTCCCATTTTTATTTACAGTAATTTTATTTTTCTGTTTGTTTAATTAGGATTATGTTAATACATTTATATTTTATGAGTTTTATTGTTTTTGAAAGTATGAATTCTAGAAATGTTTTGTGATGTCAAATTATTTGTAAAAGAATTTCATTATTGGGCTGCAATTTGAAAAACTGTTGTCCCATTGTTGTCAGTCTGTCTTTCCTTAATCTCTACATTGGTGTTAGATAAATGAAATTCAAGACAAGATATGGGAAGTTTAGGAGCAGGAGGCCCCAATTAACTATATTTGAACTTCTGATCCAAACCAGAAGTCAAATTATTTGAATTCAAAAATTTTCCCCTGAAAAGGGTTATATAGATAACAGACACAACTCCGTTGCTAATGAAAAAGTATGATGTACAGTACAGGGGCAAGACACTACAGTATTAATTTGAGGTGGAGAGCATATATTTTAAGTTAAATAAATTAAACATATGATTAAAAATTGCAATCCAGCATTGTGACGATGTCACAATAAATAATTGCTTGTTTATTTATTTATTTTATTTACTTTCTGAACTGTGGTTACTATTCCTTGTGTTTTAATATAGAAATGGGATGGTATAAAGACTTATCATTACATAAAAATATCATGTTTTTAAATTCCAAAATGAAGTCAGTTTATGGTTAATTTGTTTATTAGCTATTAGCTGCAGATGATATTCTAAATATTTCTGTAATTATTTTTCAGAAAATTGTTTCAATTAGAATTAAATATGTTGAGAGAGAGTTAAAATTTATGATTAATGATTTTGTTACTCTCCTCAAAAGGAGAGTAACAAAATCATACATTATTCATTATAATTAATCTTATAACACTAATTGTAATTATGACAAATGTTTTACTATTAAAACTTTATTTTTAGTAATTTTTTTCTTTTTTATGTTCAGTTTATTTTCAAAACTATTACTTGCAGAAACATGAAATATTTTTTGATTTTTAAAATGATAAAATAATGTTGCAAACTCAGAGATTTCATTTATTTTAGTATTAAAATAAAATAATAGTAAAACACAGCTAATTAAGGAATCCAAGGATAGACTTTCCAAGACAAACATGTTTGGTCTTTATTTCAGCTAGCTTCAACTCTGTTCTTTCAAAAAGAGTGCAAAGTAAATGTGATGTTCCATATTTTAAATGTTTAAATTTGTAAACAGTTCTTTATATCATAAAATTAAAGATTCAAGATACTATAGCTTAAAAAATAAAATAAAAACTATAAAATAGGAGAACTGCTAATTATTCTATTTTATGTGAGCATATTTAATATGTCCATAAGTCCATATGTTTTAGAGAGATTGCATGCTTTGGGTTCATTTATAACCTCATTATTTCTGTTGAAGTAGTAAATATATAACTGTTCTAGAATTCTGAGTTGTGGGGAAAGTTATGTTCTCTAATTATGTAGAGGTGCTTCCATAAGATTATTACATTTGACCATAGGCTCACTGAGCTTCATATTTTTACCTTAATATTTAGCATATATACTTTTATCATATAACTATAATTAATTTAAATTTAGTTTTTTATTAGAATTAAAATTGTGTTTTTATTTTTTAGTTAAATGGAATAGAAATCCCATTACAGAATGGTTTGGATAGAGATGTCACTGCTGCCACCCAAGGATTAGGAGAATTAACATTTGAAGAAGATGAAGAAGATCAATATTGCACTAAAGATCTGCCTGAACATGCATGCAAGTAAGTCATTTTATGTATAACTCAGAATAATTTTCTTAATGTATAATATGGGAAAGTATTGGGATCATGTCAAACTTGACTTTCCAGGGTTTTTGTAATTCTTGACTTTGAAACTCCTTGAATCCAAAAAAGTCAAACTAAACAGCAAAAAGTTTTTTGTGTCTGTGTTGTCATCTATTTTGTTTAATATCTCAAGACGGGGTAAAGATTAATAAGTGAAATTTGGCATGGTAACTTGTATGTAAGGGGCATTGGTGCTATTAAATTTAAGTGGTTAAAGTTTGAGGGGAGTGGGGAGATACGGGGTCATATGTCATATATCAAATAAGATTGGACCTAATTAAAATTTTACTACTTATTGGCATTTACAATTTTTTTTTAAAAAACTCCTTTCTATCCTCAAAATTAATTCTGCCATTTTATGATAATTAACTAGCTGTTACCCATGATTTCACCCATGTGGATTTTGCAAGCAAACCCCATTTATATTCAGTATTTCAACAACCATAGTAATTGTTATATAACACCTACCACTGAGAATGATGAGAATTTCTGAGAATCAATGAACTGTTTTCAATTTGATCAATTTTCTGGAATGTTTACAATTATTCTATAATTGAACCAATACGCAATAACAAATTCAAATTTAAAACAGTTTGAACATTTGGTTAAAAAATCGAAATATATAAAAATATTTATAACAATGTCTGAAATGTTATCAATTTAATACACCTAAGTACTCAATGAAAACTAAATGTAGTTAAAAACAAAAAATTGCATCTAAAATAGTACAGAAGAAGCCGTTCTTCAGGTTAAGCTTTAATCCTTCCCCCCTTGTGGGGGAATTTCAAAAAATCCCTTTTTAGTGTGTGTTTTAATGACGTACCCTAACTGTGTACAAAATTTCACCTCTAGGTTCAGCAGTTTGCTCTGAGTGATGATGAATCAGTCAGTCAGGACAAGTAATTTTATATATTTAGATAATATAAAAGTTATTTTTAATATAATCTCATAACATATAGCACCACACAGAATTTTAGCTTTGTGCTAATTATTTCGTAAGCATGAATATTTTTTACTGGGAAAGTTGTGGAAGTCATTGTTAGATTTTTTTTTTTTCTTCTGCTTATGAGGCCCTATATGAACTATTGATTTCATATATATGAACAACTTTTATTGAATTTACATTAAAATTGTGATATTGTGATCTATAACAATTATTGCAGTTTACTCTGTGTGATATTTGAATTTCTGAGAATTTTCTTTTTACAGTTAAAATTTTTTTTGTCTCATTTCTGAGGAGGTTCATGGGATATTACTATTAATGTTTGAAATAATATGCTAATTAATTTTTACTTGCAAATTTAATATTGAGCTTTTTCTCCTGATATTTAATATTTTTTTAATGATAGTTATTTGGAGAATAAATTCATCTAAGAAAAATATTATAATATTTTACAACTTGTTGTACTTTATATAATACATTTTTCAAAGAATATAAATAGTTTTTGTATAAATTCAAAATGTGATCCTATGATACTTAATATTGATGGTGATGTAATTAAGATGAGTCAGTTTAATAAGAAAATAAATATGGGGTCCCTCATATACTGTAGCTGAACATTATGTAATTTCAGGATGACTGACACAAATCAGTTTTTATGAGATCTTACAACTCACTATATGTATATATAGATCTTAACTTCTTTTATCGTAAGCAAGTGTATAATCATTAGAAGAAGGAAGAGACTGGAGATAAACTTTTAGATTTCTCTACTGAGAAGATCAGATTAAATTTTTCTAAGTTTTGTGTCTGATTCTGTGCAAAATATTTAAGACCACATATTTTTCAATGAAAAAGTGTGAGAATTCTTTAGATGGATGAGTGATCATTAAATACTTAAGTTCTTTGGAACAATTTAAAAAAAAAAAAGATTTGGCTCCAAATTCAGTGGAGTTAGATTGTTAGTCTTGAAATGGAAGCAGATTTTGTCCACTTTCTTCCAGTAATTTGAACTAATCTTATAAGAGATGATTAGGCAGATGATGAGAAGACTTGATCTAATTAGTGAGGATAGAGCTCTTCTTGGTTGGTCGCTTGAACTTAACTCTCTGGATTGGTTCATGGGAAACAGCAAGGACATACATGACTTTTTTGTCTAGTAGCTCAGGCACAATTCTTTCATCTCTGTAGAGGCTTAGATTTGACTCTTTCTTGTCTCTCTCTCTCTGTTTGACTCAGATTTTCAAAGATTTTCTGCTCAGATAAATTCCTCTTTCCATGGGTGTTTTTCTATTGGTAAGAAAAATGAGATAAAATAATTTGATTACATTTATTTTTTCAGAATTTGATTACATCAGGTTCATTTTATGTACTAATTATTAATCCAACATAATGTTTTTTTGGCATTCTTCACAGTTGAAAGCTCTGTAAACATCAATGTGCCAACCTGAACACTGGTTTATTCTTAGAAAGACTGATTTTTAGCATCCATTTCTTCTACAAGATCATGAAAACTGATGACACTGCATGATAGCAGTGGTGATATCTTTGAATCTGAATTTGAAACATCATTTGGAGTTGGAGATCTGTATTCAACTCCAAATGATTGGCCTCATTTCTCTTTCAGTTGTATTTTTCCCAGAGGATTTATACACCAGAGTGGAACAAGGAACAATAAAAGTCCTGTTGGCTGTGTGATATCCTATTTTTTACTACAATAAGAGTTTTGTTCATTGCAGACTCAGAATATTTGAATTTTGGTTTTTTTCAAACCTGGTTTAGACTGCATAAGAGACAATCATCAGTTGGATATAACAAAATCTAAAATGAAATCAGAAGGAAATGTCGTAATAATAACCTTAATAGTAATTGACAGTTTATTCAGATGATTAACAGATATTGAAACTAGTAATTGACACTACATGTTTTTGCTTTAAATAGTTATTTGTAGCTTTAGGCAGTATTTTTTAATAATTTTTTACTACTTAAATTATGGAAATAAATTAAAACATTATTAAAAACACTTAATAACAATTAGACATAAATGGATTTTCTCTGCTTTGCTCTTTAACAAAAAATTAAGGTCTTCTAGCTTCATACACAAACAAGAACTAAAATGGCTTCTATACATCTCACTAGTGTTCAAAAACTAAGCTACATCAAATCATAAATTTTTTGCATTCAACACATTCAATGTATTATTGTATAATTCTGTGCCTATCAGCATAGCTTCAGATAGTGTATCAGAAGATGTTGTTGCAATTAAATTATTTTTGAAAAGTAAACTCTCATAATACACTACTCCATCTTTTAGCTGCTACTTCAATACATCACTGTATAAAGAGTTATCATCAACAGTTTTTTCGTCACAACATGAAGAACTTGCTTCTCTTGATGACATTTTTTTAATTACAAAATAATTTTTCAAAATAAATTTCACTGCACAAATATGTTTATTTGCGTTGAAATTCAGAAACGAACTGTTAAAGAGTGAGTGAAAAAGAACTCCGATAGAAAAAACTTTCCTAGTGAGAATTAGATCAGAGGTCACCGTTGATGATAACAATTAGATGGGAAAGTTGGCACATAGGTGTCAAGAATGCACCATTATTGTCAACAAAAGTAAAAATATTAGACTTGGAATAGTAGAAATTAAATTAAAATAAATAAATAATAAAAAATACCAAAAAAGCAATAAATAATAAGAAATAAATGAATGAGTAAATAAATAAATACATTATAAGTATTTATGAATAAAAAAAAGGGGGAAAGTGTACACAAGGGAATTGAACCCAAGAACTCAAGTGTACAAGTCAGGAGCATTACACCCAGCCATAGGACACTCAAGTGGAAGTACGTGTAACTTATATATAAAGTGCTAAAAAAACTTTAAGTTAATTTTTCTCAATTATATTTGAGTGTTGCACTTTAGTATTTTACAGGTAGTACACTCACATGCTGTACTACCTCTACACCAAAGATCAAAATCTGTTTCCCAAAGCCGTAGAGTCTCCTTGTAAGTTAATTAGCTTTCTCACTCTATTCTGCTGGCTCATGGCTAAAATTATATAGCAGAACTGATTTAAAAATATATATATTTTATTGCTAAAGACACAAACAGATATTTGAATCTTAAAACTATAATAAAGACAATGACTAATGCTCTAATCAAAGCAGGAAAACCTCAACATCATGTGCATGATGCTATATCAGTTGTGTTTGTTGTAGCATCTGTATTCATTGTAACATTTTGATTTTGTAGATAAACACTGTTCATTCTAGTATACCTTACTGTATTTTCAAATAATTTATGGGTTTATTATGAAAATTAAAATGCCATGGTTTATGAACACACTATTTAATTACTGTAAATCAGGTGTTGAGTGGAGTAATTTCCAAATGAAAAGATTTTTAAAAACTTGCACACTTATTCTTAATTTATACATATTGCAAATAAAATATAATTAATAAGAGAATTTTTGGTTATGGTAAAAGTACTACTGTGATCAAAAAGTATTGGAAATGGTTCATTTAAACTGCATGCATGCAAGAGGGCACTGGTATAACTTTCTGTGGATTGACATCTAGCAGCAATCCATATGTTAGCATCTGTTTTTGTTTACAAATAAATGTTTGTATTGTATATAAAGAATTTTTGCACTGGCAATTTTTAAAAATGTCGAGTGCAGTTGAGCAAGGAACATACATTAAATTTTGTTTTTGCAATGGGATTACTACTACAAAATCATTGAAAATGTTACAAAAAGTCTTTGGTGATAGTCACCAAAGGCTTTTTGAGACATTTATCTAAAACAAGACGTTGAGTTGTACAAGATATTGAAGGAAGGCAGAAAACAGGTCAAAGGTGAACCATGCTCTGGTAGACAATCCACTTCAGCTGACAAACAACATGTTGCTCTAATCAGATTTGGTATTTAATGATCATCAATTAACAATTAGGAACATTATTAAACATGTTTCAGTAACATTTGGATTT